ATTAACTCTTCCAAGTCAGGGAAATAATTAATAATCATTTAATTGACATTCAGAGAGACATGCCTCTCCTAGTCTTCTTTTTTTTTTTTTAAGATTTATTTATTTATGCTTACAAGAACTTGGGTGGTGAGAGGATTCACCAGAGATAGTGGAGAGCAGAACAGGCAGATTGACTGAAATACACTGCTGAGGGGAGCAATGGGCGAGATAGGCGAGGTCTGCTGTGCCATGTGGGTTGCTCCCTGGCCAGGGATTGGCCTCCCTGGTGGTACAGGGGTAAAAGGCAGAGCTATCAAGCTATCTCCAGCCACTGCAGCATGAGAGTTCTCCTAATATTACAGCAGAATCCCAGGGCCTGAAATTTTAGTATTCTGACCCTTCCCACTGTTGCCAGGTATCTTCTAATAGATTGCTTCTTCTCCCCCTTTCTTTTAGGGAATGGTCAAGGATTTATATCCTTGATGATAAATATTAAACCTAGCTGTGAACTAAGCAAGAAGCAATCTTTTTAATTTCCTGTGTTTGGCAGTGCTTTCTATCTGCTGTACCATCTTAGCTTTCTAACCTAAAATATAAATGTTTATGTGCATGTTTTACTCCCATGCTGTGCTAGTAACTAGATCTTTTTTCTTGTACTTATCTTTTCAGTGTATAATTTTTTAAGTTAAAAACGTGATTCTCCTAACAAGTATAAAATGAGCACATGTCAGGGAAATATTTAACTCATGAATGAGGGAAATGGTAGGAAAATAAAGCTGGTTCAAAGAGCCTTTGAGGAACTGTGTAGTTATCGGCACTGCAGAATACTGTAATAAAATTGGTAGGTTAGATACAAACTGGTTAGTGTCCTATATGGCGAAAATAATAATATTTGGGGCTCTTCTTTATATGAATTTGAACTCCTGTGCATCTGTAATGGATAAAAATCTCCAGGTTAACATGTAACTTTGCAAAGATGAATGCAAATCAGTAGTAACTAACAAATCAAACACATGTACCTCTCCTAGCTGTCAGCTGTCGGAGTCTGCTAGGCTGAGCCCTTACTGTGACCCCTGCATCCAGTGACATGCAGTGCAGGGTTTATAAAAGTTCCCCAGATACCAGAAAGTCCTGTTGATTTGCTGAGGCTTTGTCTGGTTGCTTACTATTCCACCTCTTCCTCTGTCCAGTCTGCTTCCTCCTTTAACAAGGGCTGACCCTAGTAAAAATCTCTGAATCCCCCAACCCCACCTGGCTTTTGCTTCTGAAGAAATCAACCTGCAAGCGTGGATTTTGTTGTTTGTAAAGTAGCCCTGTCACCGTGGGAGCAGCAGAGACCCAGGAGCAAGTGCAATCCTGACCTCATTCTACATGGCAGGGAGAGTGTGAGCTCTCCTTTCTTTCTCTTCAGGAGTTTGGAGTTTGGCATTTGAAGAATTTGCCGTTCGGTGGGGCAGTGAAGCTGACTGCTCTGCAATTCTGAGGGAAAGCTTAAAAGGCTAAATTGCTCTTGGGTATTCTCTACAATAAAGATCTTTTGTAATCTTTTATAACATTAATCAGTTAAAGATTTATCTGCTTTGGGAAAAATTTCTCTAGAACAGTTGAAATCTCCTGCCAAAGAGTTGATTAAGAAGAATTTTTTTCCACCTCCAACTGATACCCCTTTCTTTGACCCTCCTTCCAACCTGCTACAGGAAGAAAGGTTTCCTCTCTTGAGATCCCCTATTTGCATAACCTCTCTAATCACTCTTTGATTTCTAGCAGAAATTATAATCTCACTAATCAACGGGATAGGGATATGGAGCTACAATCCCCATCAGAGTACACTGTACACAGGATGTGATAAGCAGTTCATGCTGGATGGAGGTTTGCTCCAGTTACTGCCTTTGCTAAAATGCTTTGTCATCTCGGTGGTTATTGCCTGGAACATCAGTGGACCCTCCCTCTCCATCTTCTTTAGCTCCCCTTCTAGACCTTTATTTCAAGCCTGTGCTGCCAGCTTTTCTGTTGGTGGCATCTGGCTTAAAGAGAGCCACCTGTGCTTTGTGGTCCCATGGTAACGCGCCTCTCTTTCTTAAGTGGCACTGTAGACAGAAGGAATCATTCTTGCTCTCCCTCCTAGCCCCCGCATCTGTTTGTTTTGGTATTTTAACCTTAAGCCTTAGCCAGCAACTGCTGTGTGTATTTTTGAATCTGTGAATCTTAAGACGATAAGGAAGGCCTGCAGAAAGTTTGGCCATTGCTTCTTTAACACTTCTTTCTGTCTTTTTTGGGGGAAAGGTTGGAGGATGCTGTGACAGTCATCCTGCTCTCCACAAAGCAGCCACCACATGATCTTATACATGTTGGCTGGAACTGAAGAGTGGAATTGGGATTTTTCACAGTAAGGTCCACTACATGGAGTTCATATAAATGCACACTTTAATAAATCTTACTTTCTTAATGGATGTTTTCTAAAGCTATTTTAAAAAGTTAGTTTTTCATAAAAGGGCAATCTAGACCAGAAGATGCTGCTGAATAAGTCTTTATAGAACATAATAGGCAAAGACCAGATGCCAACAAAGTTGTTAAGCTTTTTATTTCTTGTCCAATTTTCTCTGCAGGGGGAGAAAGGTCTATAAAGTCGCTCATCTGTGTCCACCTTTTTAATAACTTAGTCCTGCCACTGGATTTGCCTGTGGGAAGAGAACTCATAGGCAGATAATACATGGCAGAGTCAAGAAGGCTTATGGAGTTGTTTAGTTCACTCTCTTCATTTTGAGTTTTGGGAGGTGGGAAACAGGAGGAATTGTTTGAAGAAAAACATTTGGGAAAGGACCAGTCCCTACCTATTTCTTGTCTTTTCTCCACCATCTTGCTGCCCCTCTGTGCTTTTTTTTTCCCAGCAGGTTTGTATGAAGTGAGGCTACAATTTACGTGGGAACTCCAAATTACCAATAGCTGGTGTCTTTGATCCTTCCAAATTTTAGCAGTGAAAATGCCCATCAGGATTTAGATGTGGAAACTTCTGGAGAAAAACATGTGCAAAGCATATGCTTTGATCTGGAATTCTTTTTTTTTTTTTTAAAGATTTATTTTATTTATGCATACAAGAACTGGGGTATAGGCCAGATGTGTGGGAGGGTGAGAGGATTCACCAGAGACAGAGTGGGAAACAGAACAGGCGGATTGACTGAAATACACTGCTGAGGGGGGCAGTGGGCAAGACAGGAGAGGTCTGCCGCACCTTGTGGGTATCTCATCTGCCAGCCAGGATTGAACATGTGCTGCAGAGGCTTCGGACAGCTTCAACCACCTGTGCCACCAGGGAAGCCCCTGATCTGGAATTCTTCTGTGTGGATTCCATGGGCTCGAATACCAACTCAGTCCCCAATCTGAGTCACTCAGTTATTTCTTACTAGTAGCATTATAAATTCCTTGAGCAAACATATGAGTAACTAAAGATATATGTATAACTACAGGTAGACAATGTGTATTTGAGTAATTATAGATGACCAGTAGAGACCATGGGAAGATCTTTGTGTGGTCTTGAGGGAGCACAGGGAGAGAACTCTACCTTTAGTGTCGCTGACATGGCTGACTCTACCATGTCACTGGCATGGCTGACCTGAAAAAGCCTTTATAGAGGAGTTGGTATTTGAGATGGGCAGAATTCAGGGTAGTGAAGTGCAAATGGCATGAAGAAAGTTTCAGATTTGTGAAAGTACATGCAGAATCTCTTCGGTGGAAGGTAATTGGTTTGAAATGGTTTTGAACACTCAAGGATTATCAGTTTCATTAATTTGAAAGATAAACTTTAGATTTCCTAAAAAGTGATGGAATAGTATCATGTGTCCCTTTAAAGATGAGCTTAGAACCATCTAGACTGACAATATGGTAATCTGAAAAATCTCTTTATCTCCTAATTGAAAAGATATAGGTGTCCAGCCAAGGTCTTGTGGATTCCTTGGGGTGTGGTTCATAAGTTCTGTGTATTAGAGGGTCTTGAACTTGCTTAAAATATCAGTGGCTTTTCATCTTCCCTTCCTCTCCTTTCTTTTTCATGCATTCATCCACAAACATAAAATTACTCACCGAGGGTATGCATTGTTCTAGGTCCCGGAAATAATGAGCAGATCTCTGCCTTCAGGTTTCACTCAGAAAACAGACTATTATAATTCTGAGTAATAATTTGAAGCTATGGGCTTCCCCTGGTGATGCAGGCAGTTGAGCGCTGTGCTGTGAAGCTGTCCTCAGCCTCTGCAGTGCCAGTTCAATCCCGGCCGGTGGGTGAGGGTCCCACATGGAGCGGCAGACCTCTCCTGTAGTGCCTGCTGCTTCCCTCAGCAGTGTATTTCGTCAGTCTGTCTGTTCTGTTCTGTTCTGTTCTGTCTCTGGTGAATCCTCTCATCTTCCCGCACATCTGGTCTGTACCCCGATTCTTGTATAAATAAATAAATAAATCTTCAAAAAAATAATTTGAAGCTACGGAAGCCTACCGGAAAACCTAACCAGTTTTAGACCCCAAGGACATTTTTGGGGAAAACTGGAGTTTGCAGGACCAGTAGTAGGATTGGTGAGACCAAGATAAAAGAAAAAGAGGGAAAGTAAGAACATTCTCACCAGAGAGTGTAATGGATTCCAAGGCCACAAGCCACAGAAGGACATGGCCCCTGGGGAAGACATAAGATGGTTAACCGTGGAGTAGATGGAGTAAGTGAGGCTGAGAGTAAACAGGTATAGATACTAAAAACCGTGTGCACCAGCTCAGAATGGAGGGCTTTATCCTCAAGATCTGCAGGGCAGTTGCTATCAGAGGCTGTTAAGCTGGGGAGTGACTTAACGAAGACCACTGTGATTCAATGTTGGGAACAGGTTGAATAGACTAAAGGCAGATCTGTTAGGTGTGTGTTGCAGTGGCCCAGGAGAGAGATGATGGGAACCTGAGCTGAAGTAGGAGCAACAGTAACAGAGAGAAGTGGATAATTTTAAGAGATAATTAGAAGGTCAAATTGATCAAATGAGTGTTTTTGATGTAGGTGATAGAGGAGAGACAGGCTGTTATCTTGGAGCCACGAATGCATGGTTCAGCCATTGACAGAAAGGAGGAGAGACATCCAAGGGGATCGCATTTCAAGGTGAGATCAAGAGCTTGACATTGGCCCTGTTGAGTTGGCAGTACCTGGGGCACATCCAAGAAATTATATTGACATTCCACCTTTGCCATTGGGTATCCTAACATCACAGGTAGTGAGTGTAGAATGTCAGAATTGTAGAGACTTGAGGTTTGGCAAGGAAACTATATGTATGAGTAAAGTGGAGAGGTGGGACAACTTGTTTAATGTCTCAGAGCTACTCATAGGTTTATCTGTGTCTATTTTAGTCTCTAGTATCATCTGTAAATGTTTCCATTCCTGTTTTTGGTTTAGTCGCCACTGAAGATGTGTAGTAATAAATTCATGTAGCCATGTTGTTTTGCTTGCAAAGAGCTGCTGACAGAGATGTGGGCCTCAAATCCACATGGGGGACTAAGCCCCATTTGCATCTCATTTGATTCCATCTGCCCTGTCTTAACCATGATTAAGGCAACTTTGTTAGGCAAGTGGTTGCTTAACACAGTGGAAAGTCTTAATTACTCTTTAATAGCTTTGTACAGAGGGAAAGTCAACTTTAATGTTTAATCGTTTGGTTGTCTCTTGAAAAAGTTTCTTTCAGTATTCTATTTGCATATCCACAAAACATAAATGTGTATTCATTACATTTCTATTTTCCTTCCAGATTTTGGTGACACAAAACCAAAATATTTTTCTTTTAAAGTATTATTGCTGCATAAACACTGGAAATTTAATGAAAAATTAAAATTTAAAAATCCACCCACAGTCTTTCCATAACAACAAATTTCAAGCTTTATTTCTTTTACTCCCTTTTTCTACATATCCATATGGTAATCTTAATTTACATTCACTTTCCTTTTCTCATCCACCATTATTTTACCATATTGTTTGCTTCATTCATTCATTCACTCACCCGTAGGCACCCATCTGAGTTCTTCTCTGAATGTTAGGCACTCTGAATGTTATTGGGAGGTATGTGCTATCAGTCTTCAGGAAGCTCATATTTGGGGATCATGGGGGCTGTTGGGTAGGAAACATGCTGACAGGTAGAAATACGATCTGATAGGAAAAAATTGCAATTGAGTAATAAACATGGTGCCGTATGTTGTTTGCCTATTGTAGTTAGAACATTGCTACTTTCTCGTTAAACATTGCATTAGTAAGAATCTCTAGAGAAAACAGGTGATATCTGAACCAAATTCGGAGAAATGGAGGATCATTTTGACAGATTCACAGAGGTGTGGTCAGAATGTAAGGTGATCGCAGGGGTTTGAGTCTCCAGTGAACTCGAAAGCGCCTGTTTATCTGAAAGTCACCAGGGAGGAGATATTTTTAAAATAAACATTTTAAGTACCTCAATGCAGGAGGCAGGCATCATGCTTGGTGCTGAAGAGCAGGGAATGGAAGTATTGGGGGTGTCTTCTGCTCCAGAGAGTGAGCAGGACAGGTCAGGACAGCACAGCAGAGAAGCTGCTGGGGGGATCTCAGGGAGAGGCACCCAGGAAGCTCTGATTTCCAGCTGTGATATTGGCTGAATGGTGCTGATGGGAGGGAGGTTTGTACTCAGTTCCTTCTGGAAGAGCTGTTTGGCTTAGGGCACTGGATGACTTTTAGATGGGGAGAAGCAAAGGGCAGGGAGGCCGCCTGAATGTTACTTCTGACATCAAAAGCCTCTTTTCCTTCACCCCAGTAACAGAAAATATCACTTTGTGCCATGACATGATAAAGTTGGGAAGTTTCCAGGGGCTCTTCCAGTCATCCAGTATTGGAGTTCCAGAAATTCTTTCAATAGCATCTAAAGTTTCACACATACATAATGATAACTATAATTCAACTCTAGCTTGAACAAGTTGGACATTGACTCTGGAGATGAAGATGTCTAGTCAGGCCACCAGATTGGAAGGAGGGCAGGATAGAGGCCACAGGAGACCATTCTAAGTTTGAAAGTAAGATATTTTAGCCTTAACAAAGCCAATGATGAGAAACTATGTTTGGACTTGCTTTTTGCAACATACATAGGGCTTTGCATTTTTAAGTAGAAGCATAGCATGACCCCAGCACCCAACTGACGCCAGGCACTCACTCCACACATTCACCCATGTGACAGAAGAGAAGCCTAGTCAGGATGTCACTGACCAGGAATATTCAATGACAAAATGGACTAGGGATTCGAGTCCAGGTTGCCCTGCACATGTGAGGGGATCCTCTCTATGCACTGAAGAGTGAGGGCAGCCCCGATTGCATGGTGTGGGGATCATTGTGTGCCTGCGCAGTCCTGGACCAAGATCATCAGTATTTGATTGTGCAGTTTATTTCAAGATAATGATTATTAGCTTTCTTCTTCAGTTAGCCATTCTGATAAATCACAGGCCCTGCTCTACTCAAGCATCATCTAAGTACGATTGCTGTACAATTTATTTTCCTCTGGGAATTGCCGCACAGGCCTGTAATATCATGTGAAGGCTGCTGCCGCCCTGTTTCCTGCTGTTAGATTCCCTTTCTTAGCTCAGTTCAGCAGATTGTAACCAGTGCTGGTGGCTGCCCAGAGAGCGGTGGTCTTTTCCATTATTCATGTTAGTGGCAGGTTGGTTGCTTGGGCCTGTGCAGCCTGGAATAGGCTTATTGATGGCAGCAGGTGCAACTGGCCATTGCTCCAAGTGCAAGTGGAGGTCAAGGACTGCTGGGGGAGGGGATTTGCAGAGCAAAATGTCTCATCTGGGTAACTGGCAGCTTTCATTCTCCTTTGGCCCAGAGAGGAAAACCAACTGTGAGTGGAACCTAGGTAGGGTCAACCACATACTACAGGGATGTGCCGTTATGCTTGGGGTTTGGTCTAGTGACAGGCAAGACTGGAGGGGGATATGTCAGACCTAGCTGGGGCCAGCTTCTAGAGTCTGGACTGTTTTATTCACTGAATCTATCTCCGCCACTATCCAGTCCTGCTGTTATGCCTCTTCCTTTTATTTCATTATTAAATACAGTACATTTCTTTTAATAACTTGCCTATGGCCTACTTAATCACTTAGTATTTTATTTCATGGGCATTTTTTCAGTTAGTAGCCTGGTCCCCAAACTTACATTTCATTGGCTCCATCATTTAGCACTGTGCTTTCAAAGTGCTTTCTTAGCTTGCTGCCAGTCCTCTGGGTTTCCCCCAGTTTTTCATGATTATACGTGGCAGTGAGTAGTGTGGAAGACTTGTACGCACAAAATCTTAAAGCTATTAGAATCCTTCCTTCCCTGAACACAACTGAGTCCAGTCTTCTCCTTTTGAAGACCAAAAAATAAAGTCCTGATGTGTTTGAAAATTTTGTTTGTATATCTTTCTCCCTCTTTTAAAATGATTTCTTTCATTGCCATTGGTGCCAGAGACTGCCCTGTCTTCATTGGTAATTTCATCACAGCAAAGTGTCAGAAAACTCCATATAAACTTGTTTTAATGAAATGTGAATTTATTGACCTGAGTCACTGACAACCCAGGAGTAGGGCTGGCTTGATGAAGAGCATCCCGTAAGATACCTTCAGTCATTTCTTTTCCTGGCTCTCTCTCATTGACTCCATTTTCAGAGTTGTCCTCTCTTGCTCCAACTGTCTCTTCTTTGTTTCAAGTTGGGAGGTCGGGGGAGAGTTCTGCTTCTTGTCCAGCATTTCTGGTGAAAGCCACACTTTGTTTTGTTAGTTCTGGGTAAGCCAGTTACCACCCCTGCATCAATTACTATGCTCAGAGGGATGATCAGGCCAGTGGTCATAGGAGATAGAAATATGTCTGGAGCAATGAGAAGAGAGTCCCTTCCTTTTGTGTAGATTGAGAATGGAGTAGGATGTTTTCCTCAATGAAATCCTTCATAAAGGACTATGGGGAAAGGATGTTGAAGACTCAGTCAGTGAATGTACCCAGCCCCACTAATTTCTGGATTTGGGGGGCCTACTGAGGAGGGTGTGTTGGTGGATGGCCCACCAAGATGCACAAAGCTCACAGAATCAGATTTGTTAGAGGTAGAAGGACTTTTTTAGGTCCCTGTGTTAGTTAATGATTGCTGCATTAAAACAAACAAACAAACAAACAAAAAAACACCAGAATCTATTGACTTAAAATACTAGGCTATTGGAAAAGTCATGATGCATTTTTGCTTGAAAAACAGGAAAAACATGTCATGACTTGTCCATCAACCAATAGCAAGTTATGCCTGAGGATTCAGTAAGTCCAGAATTCTGTGAGAGGGTAAGAAGAGATAGTTTGCTTGTAATTGCTCTGTGGTTTCCATATGTCAAATGGGAGTGAACTGGACACCTCTCTGCCTGGCTTCTTCCAACCTCCCCTCCACCTCCAGTCTGTACTAGCGTGGCCTTCTCATGGCTTGATAGCCTCAGTGTCAGACATACTTCCTAAATAGAAGATCAAGATTCCCGGAGAGAAGGTGCCACAAGAAGTGGAAGTTGCTAGCTTCTTAAGGCCTGGCCTTGAAAATCTGTAAGTTGTCACTTCCACGATACTTGATTGATCAAGTAGTCACAAGGTCCCCTAGACTCAAAGGGAGAGAGCTCCTTCTACTCAAAAATGAAATACCTGAGAAATACCAGAGAGAAGCAGTGAGTGACCTAATTTCTCTGAACCTTCTTTTCAGAAATAAAGTGAAAACACTCAAAGATCCATGCCCCACCCACTCGAGTTCTACCTTCTCCTTTTGCTCTTTATCAGTGAGCCAGGAGACACCAAAGTGGGAGAGCCAGTGTGTGTTGTTGTTTCTTTGCAAATAAGATGCTGACAGAATGCTGTCTGTCAGCTTTGCTTCAGCCTCAGGCAGCTCAGCTCTGCTGGCACTCAGTCCTTAGTCATCAGCACAGAGAATATTGGGATAACTTTGTGGAGAATCCCTGCTCTTGTTGCCTTTCTTACCCCCTGGAAGGACTGAGGAGGGAGGGAGGAAGGGGCAGAGGAGTCTCTGGTATGAACCGCCTCTTTGGTTCCTTCACACCAGTGCTCTTCTCATTAACTAGTGAGCCACTGGCATTTTCCTATTTGCGAGGCAGTCATTTCATAACCTAATATTTCAATATTTTCTGGGTTTGCATCTCCCTCCAACCCATAGCTTCACACCATCTGGTGTGCATGTGGGCACTCGAGGGAGGGAGATGAGAGGCAAGGGAAGCAGTTTTCTCCTTTCCCTCCGTGTTCGCGCTCTTTTCTGGGAGGAGGAAAATTTGCAGCCTTTCCTCACACAAGGCTTGATGTCCATTTCTAGATGTGTGAGGCAAGGGGAGCAATGGTCAGAGACCAAGGTAGCAAAGGCTATTTCGGCAATGTCTCAGAAAACCAGGGAACTTTCCTCTTCTGCAGATGAGAACTTTCTTCTGTCTGAACATTTTTCTCTACCTGGTGTGAAGACAGATTGCTTTATATATGTGTATACGTTTCAGGTGATCACCTGATTGCCTCAAAAGCCAACACTCTCTGCATGGAAATGTGAGGAAATTAAGTTAGCTTAGAATTCATTTGCAACCTGGAGCACCTGGAAAATAATAAAATTCAGGATCTTGTGCATGTGTGTGTGTGTGCATGCACACGTGTATGTGCTGAGACACACTGAGTCTTTGTTATAGATCAAGCAAAAGGATCACTCAAATGTTCATATTGAGTGAAGGGGGTAGGTTGAAGCGATGAGATTAATTAAATATAGCATTCATTAATTTCCTTGAATTAATTCCCTCCTTAATCAGAGACATAACCAGAAGATTTGCTCTAATTGATTTTGGTTTTTAATCTTAGTGAAGTAAAGGTACAATGCCGGTGGTATTTTCAGTTCTTTCCGCAGGAATGTGATTTCTGCTTACACTTGCACATTGTAATTTTAGTCATGTAAATTTTAGCAAAATTTAAAGTATGCCTTTTTTTTTTTAACCTTAGCATTTATTTGGGAGAAATTCTGAGTCCTGGAGGTGAACAGAGAGTTTGATATAATGATATTTAAGGAAAGGACACAAGGGGCACCCTGAGGGAGATCTGGGGCACAAGGGTGAAAGGCTTGTTCTTAGTGTCTGATTCGGTGATTTCTTTGCCCATGCTATCAGCAACTTCTAGGCCATGCTTTTGAAAGAGGCAGACATAGTCCTATGTTAGACATAGAAGTTAGATGTGGCAGGGCATGGTGGGGGACAGTGGCCGTGGAGGAGTTAGATGGAGCTGGCAGACCAGGTCTATTCTTTGAGCTCCATCATAGCTGCATGCATCCTGTAATTTCAAATCCCACTTTACCCTTTACTTGTTTCTTAAGACTCCCAAATTCAGATTGCTGAGGTGTGGCTCTTTGGACCTTAGGCACCAAATATCTCTTACTTGTCACATGAAGGAATGCAAGACTCTTATCTTTTGCCCTTCCATGGAATCATAGCATTCAAGTAGATTCCATTTACTCCTGCTGAATAATATTCCTGGCGTCAAGAGACTGAGATCCAATCTGGTGTCAGCCCCATGTTTGCAGCTCACCTGTTTTCTGGGCAGCCTCTTACCTTCCTTGACACTGCTCAGCTCCCTTGATTGCTTGAAGGCTAAAGGCCAATGATGTATGAGAGGGCCCTGGAAGAGGGGAAGCGCTCTATGCAAGAGGGTGGGTAATTATGTTCTGAGAATGCTCACAGCTGTCAAGTATGACACACTGACATCCTCTCTTGCTCCTCCACTGTTGAGAAGCAGCTGTTAGTTTCATTTCTGCCTCTTCCTTTTCCATATTGCCAGATTGAGGAGAAATGAATGGATTAAAAATCTGTCGAGGGTACGGGAAACCATCTGATATGTCTTCTGTCTAACTTCTCATCAGTGAGTATTTAAAGTGTTGATATCTCCCCATAAAACTGCAAGGTGGGTATATAACTGGTGTAGGGAAGGATTATAACCTTCTGGTCCCTCTAAAATGAAACAATAAACATGATTTGGTGCACGAGGTATGAAAGAGGCTCTTAAAAATGGAAGTTAGTGTTGAAACTGAGTACCTGTGAGTCTTCCTGGAATCATTTGTGTCCAAGTTGAAATGCATCTACATAGCTCTGGCTTTTCTTTTTCTTCTCTCCTCAGTCACTATGTCCACATACACCTGGAGGATTTAGACTGAAGTCATTGAATATGGGCCCTCTTGTCTAGGAAGTATTTCCATTTTCATTCCTAGGAAAATGCCTACCTTTTACAGACTAGTGCTGAGGTAACAACATTCACACAAAATATTCCCTGATACTCAAGTCACAGACAGCCATTGTCTTTCCCTACAGCTCCCATCACTAGTGTAAAGATAGCTGTTTTAAGTTATGGTGGAAGGGAGATCCCCATGACCCATTTGAAGACAGTAATTACATGTCCTTCAGCCTGTGTGTTCAGGGTTTAGCAATAATTTTGTTACATATTAAGTACTCAGTGAGCAAGTTTAAAAGACAAAACTAACCAAACCAGTATCCAGATATTCCTTCTGATTCAAGAATTAATGTTAGTGCCTCCTCATGGTTCCCACTTGGAAAATAACCAGGTTCATAAATTGGAATATGCACTATTTCATACAATAATGTATGATCATAGATTGTGTGGCTTAAAACAAATTTCTCTCTTTACAATTCTGAAGGCTAGAAGTCTGAAATCAAGGAGCTGACAGAGCCTTGTTCTCCCTGAAGGTTCTTGGAAAGAATCTTTTCCTTGCCTCTTCCAAGCTGCTGGTGGTTGCTTGCAATCCTTGACTTTCCTTGCCTTACAGCTGCATCACCTCAATTTCCACTTCCATATCAACATAGCTATCTTTGTGTGTGTCTAGATTGCCTTCTTTAAAGGATGCCAGCCATTGGATTTACAGCCCATGCAAATTCAGTGTGACATCATCTTAACTTGAACATCTACAAGGACCCTATTTCCAAGTAAAATCATCTTCACATGTAGGGATTGGGGATCTAGGACCTGACCATATCAGTTTGGTAGGACACAGTTCAACCATAAACAGCACTTTGACCTCTTGTCCAGGAATCTTGACTTATCACCTCAGCCTCCCTCCCAGTGGTTGCCCAGCCTCTGCACTGGCACTGGCACTGTGGAGTCACTCGTGTAGAGGCAAATTATCTACATTTGGATGACAACTTTGGGGAGTTTTTCCTTTAATTGGACCCGACTCTGTCTCCCTGCCATCCCCATCATTCTACAATCAGGGTGATTGTATGGAATAATAAGCTTGGAATAATTAGCTATGGAATAATAAGCTTCCTCTTTTGGGGGGAGGGAGGGTCAGGGGCTTTCAGGTTTTCAAGATGGTGCTCCTGGCCTCCAAGACTTCTACTCTAAATCTCCAAATCTTCACCTAGGATATAGTTTCAGTACCACATTTGCTCCTCACGGATGGAATTTTCTGTTTGTCAATGTACTGGGCAAAACTAAATGATGACCTTTCCGGTGTGGCATAAGCACAGGTCTAAGCAGACACACCTGCACCCAGAGAATCCACTACTTTTCTTATCAGCTTCATTTGCATGTTGTTGGTGGTCAAAGCATAGCCTTGAAACCTTTGAATTTACACTTGGTTGATATGATGTTGCAAACCCTGTTCTTTCATGTAGCATTTTGAGCTCAAAGGAGCAGTCAGGAAGGGAAAATGAGGCCCAAAGAAGTCAAATGATTTGTCCAAGGTCACTTGGTGTTTACTGGAACCAAGTTGAACCTTTTGGTTTCCAGATGAGAACTTTTTTCTCTAAGCCTTCCCAGCACTCCAGAAGCCATGTTTATTCATTTACCAATCTGCTTTTGATTACCAAATAGAGAAAGTAAAATAAATAAAATTGGTACTTAAAACCTTCCTCACCAGAACAGTGATTGAGTGCTTCTGTAGCATCTATGGGTATATTTCAGATGTGTCTGGATTACCTGTGAGAAACAGTTGTCCTCTGAGATGGGGGCATCAGTGAAGAAGTTGCCCTGGACCTTGGTAATGCTGCTCATGCCTGCTGGTCCGCCCTGGCTGCGCTGACCCCGGGCAGCAGGCAGGGCGCTGAGGCTCTCTGTGCGCATTCAGCAACTGCCTGCATCCCAAGGCCATGTTATCTCCATTTAATATGCCGTGTGGACTGCATTTTCTCTAAATTTCCTATGAATTGGAGAGGTACATTGTGCCAAGTTTCCTAAATTGCCACAATCAATATTCCGCTGCCTTTATTTTTTATGCATGCTAATGACTTTTCTCCTTTTGCAATGTACTTGTTTCCCAGATCAGTCTTTGCAACATTAAAAAAATAAAGTAACCAAAAAAGAAAAGAGAAAGCCCTCTTGGTCACTGTGAGTTTTGCCTGGGGTTTTATGGTGTGAATCTGAATGCTCTGCAGGCTGGGGAGACCCTGGCTGGCCTTTCCGGCTGGCCCAAACCCAGAGCCAAGACAGAGAAAAGAGGGGGTGGGGTTTTGGCTCTGAGAACCACTTGACCTTGTGGGCAGCTTGACGACCTGTGCTATATTCATTGACTGTCAGAAACCAACCCCCCACTTCCTAAGCTGCATTCTCACAGTGCCTGTGTGAGTTTGGGGACAACAAAGTTGCCCCCTGAGATGGGGTGGTAGCCTCCACCTGTTTATGTAGAATGATGTGCATCCACTTTGCCAGACATCTTGGGCTCCATTCTGCATTTTCTCTGCTTTTGTTTTCTTTATTCATCTTACATTCCAAACAAAGAAACCTCTCACCGGTACCACTCTGGTTCTTCTGCCTGTGATGCTCTGGTGCTATTACATGTCTCTGCCTGTCTATTTACCTGAATACCATCCCGCATTTAAGAATGAGACCAATTGTTGTTTTCTTCATGAAGCTGCCTCTGATTTCTGTTTTTATTCATTCATTTTTCAATTGATATTTTATTGTGTATCTAATATGTGTTAAGTTCTATAATTGCTGTGATAGATGAAGCAATGACTAAAACAAAGATCGCTAACCAGGGTCCTTACATTCTGCATAGGTAAGAGAGAGGGAAACATGTATATATTGGATGTCAAATGGTAAAGCAGGGATTTAATTGAATGATCTATTAAATGTCACTGGGAAGGTGATATTTGAGTTAGGATCTGAAGATGAAAATGCTGTCATCTTCCCTTACCCAGCTTCCTTCTAGCATTTTTTTTTGGCTCCGTTGTAGGCAGTGTGGAGACTGGAGGAGGAGAGAGAAAGATAAGCCACAATGTGTGTGTGTGTGTCTTGTGCACTCACACGCTTCTGGGCCATCTAGCTGTCTAGCATTCAGTTTCATGGAGCTTACTAAATAACTCTGGCATGAATATTGTTGGTCAGGCTTGTTTTACTGCCATTCCCCAGGAGGAAATTGATTCTCTGTTGTACAGTACTGTTCAAGGACAGATCAGGCATTCCTCTGGGCCTGTGGTCTTTGTGGTGGTGGTGCTGACTTTCTTGTGCAAGTTTCTGTGCAAGTTCAGCACCCAAGAGCTCTTCCAAAGTTCTCTCAATCTTAAAATAAGGAAGTTGAATAACTGACTCTGAAGGGCTCTCCCAGCTCCCAAATGCCTCCTTTTATATGAAATCTAGTCCTAGTCTAAGCCTGTGCAGGATCCTTTGCTCATGATTCCAGTTATAGGTTGTTCCATAACTCCTCTGTGGCCTGTCCCCCGTAAGTTGCACAAGTGGGGGTGTTTCTTCAGCTCCTTGTGTCCTGGGAACATTTTCTCCAACAAGATTGTGGGCTTGGGAACATATCTTGTCCCCTTTATAACTGCAGCAAGACTCAGTATTCAAAGCTAACTGAGTCATAATTCCACCCATCTGTCTGTCCAGTTTATCCGGTGCCTGGAAAGCCTGAGAGACGCTGTGCCAGATACTTACAATGTGTTTCCCTGGGTCATCAGGAAGTTCATGGCATGTCAGATGGATAAGATTACCCAGAGTACTCGGTAGGTTTCATGGCGCTTTCACATCTCTTTTATCCTATTGATTTTTAGACATCCCTGTGACTGGGGAAGGACTTATAATATGACGTTATATTTTGTGCCCGTTCAATGACAGAAGTATAATAATATGACCTGGGAAAACTTGAATGGAAGAGAGAGCCATTGAAATGGTGTTAGTGACTTGGAGTCTGGATCCCCCCCATGAGGGAGTGTCCTCAGGGATGGGAGATGGCAGCAGAGACATAAGTCCTTGCTTTCCTTTGGCCTCCAGGCACCGTGCTTCTCCCAGTATGTGCATTGAGACACATCCACCTGGGTGATCTCAGGCATCTCTCAGCCTGCCTTTGACATATGTGATTTTTGTCTTACTCATTGACTAAGGAACTGTATTTCTGGTGTGATACAGTCCCATCTTTTCCCATGTCACAGATGGGGAACTGGGCCAGGGGGAGGATTTCTCCTTCCTCTGTATGATAGTCAGAGTGAGAAATGACCATATGCCTTCCCCATCTACAACCAGGGTATTATTATTTATTTTTTTTTTTTTTGCCTCTTTTGCTTCATTTCTGTACATCCATGGGGATTGTGTACATGTGAACTAGTAATGCCCTTTGGGAGGAAATGAGCCCAGAAGCTGGACAATGTGTACATGCTGGTTAGCTTCATAAGAGAGTGGTTTCCCTTTAGTCTTCAACAGCTCTTCGCTGTCTTGGGCTCCTTCTGGCTTGGGATGGAGACGCCTGTTTGGAAATGTGTAGCCGCTTCTCCTTTGTCATCTAATGTATCCTGAAAGACTTTGACTGCTTGCCTGGCCTGACTGCAGTTCTTTAAAGCCCATCTTCCACATGGAATTGGCAGGTTCATTTAATTGTTTGGGAGCCAGATAAAAATGCTTTGTTCTTTGCTCCTACAATATGCCATTTCAAAATTTTTCCCAAATTGCTGAAACTGTTCAATTTGGACCTTCAATTGCTTCTCTCTGAGCAAATCTTTTACTTTATATTCCAAGGCCTGTGCCTTTTGATTAGGCATTTAGGATATCAGTTAGGTTTCTTAATCTATTCATTCATATTTCTCTTTGCCTTTCTTTTTCTCTCTTTAAATCGCCTGCAAGAAGCACGCAGCCATGGTAGCTGTAAAGAAATGCAAGTACTACTTTTTCTTGTTTGCCTGCTGAAACATGTCAGTTTTTATTTCCCCCTCTTTTGTTTTGTTAGTAATAACAGTAACAACAATAACAGCAGTGATAATAATAATGCCATCTCCATTTTTAAGTTTCCTTAAATCAGTTCCTACACTTAGATCTTAAATCAGCAGAAGGCTGTTACTGGACAAGAGACACATCCAGAAAATCATGCAAAGCACCAAGGGCTGAGGCAAAGTGGTGAAAGTGATAAATTGGGCCTCTTTCCTCATGGTGTTTCCTCATCTGCTTACTCATTTCTCCTGTGGCATTGGCGTTGAGTCTCAGTTAATCCCTGGAGAAGCTGGGATGCAAGTTGCTGAAGTCACGGGACTGTGATCACAATTAAAGAGTATTAGGGCTGGTTCTACACCTTCGTGTGGAGGCTCCTGGGCCAGTGTTAGAATATGTGTGCTAAAGGAAGACATCCAATGTCTTACCCCTCATCCTAACCTGACATCTAATAAGATATGGTGGCTCCACCTCTACCCTGGTCCTGGAAACCTGTAGATATGAACCTGTAGATCTCTGTCCCTTTGTCTTGTAGTACACGCCTCCCCAAGACATCACTTTCTGTCATGTGAAAGGGGATGGAGGAGAGGAGGGAAGGAGCAGAGGCGGTCCATATTCAAAAGAATGTGTTCTGGAGTTTTAGGCCTAGTATGAAATCCTGGCACTGCTGAGTTTTGACTGTGAGCTTAAAAACTTGAGCCGTGGTTTCCTTATTTGTAAAATGGAGATGATAATATCTACCTGGAAGGTCATTTGAGGGTTTTAATAATACTTGCAGGTATTATTTTTCTTTTGGGGTCATTTATTCATTTACATATTCAGCGTGCCTGGGGCCCACATTCCATAAACACCCACACCATTATTGTAACCCCTATTTGAACCAGTCTTAGGTACTCAGTAAGACATTGCAGGTGTGGCATGGTTACATTTGCAATGAATCAAAATGTGGTGTCAGGTAAAAGTCGCATTGCATTAAATGCTACCATAGTGTGTAAAACCACTTGTCACAGAAGTGCCCTGTAAAGAGAGGGGTGTTGGGTTCTGACAGGGTCATCACAGAATAGATTGACTGCTGTATGGTGTGGGGACTTGGTGTGAAGTGTCCTGAAGTGGGAGAAGAGCCTAGAACATTGCTGTGGTTGGTGGGTATGATTGGTCTTAAAGGCCAGGCTAAGGATTTTTAGGTTTCCTGCCTCTCTTCCGCTTCCCCTCTTTCTTTCTCTTAGGTTATATGGAAAGGGGGACAAATTATTGATGATACTAAAGATAAACCAAGTCAGTGATGATTACAGTAGTCTTAGAAGGAGACAGGTGATGAGGGCTAGATGCCAAGCAGTGATAATGGAAAGAAAAATAACTGAGAGAAATGAAAGATGATGAAATGTTTTAAAAGTACTTTTAAGGATCTGGTGGTCATGAAAATGGAAACAGGCAAAACCAGAGTCATTTGGAAATGTAGTAAGAGTTTTTAGGCTGAGAATAATGGGGTTGATGAAAGTGACCTGGAAGACCACACAGGTTGGAAGGTAGGGTATGGTGAAGGTAATATGCACTCTGAGGATTTGCTGGACAATTGGACTTCACCTGCTTCTTTATCTATGTTCTAATTATGTCAGTTATATTGATAAATTTTATCTTGTTCTTGTTGTTTTAAGTTTCTTATATTTATAGCCATTGGATTCTAGGGAATGCAAGAGAGAACATTTCTTTTTTCTTTCCTCCATAAAATAAAAAAAATAGTTTCCTTTTTATTGACCCTATACCTCATTTCCTCTTGTTTTTCCCACCTTTAAAAGTTTCTCTGAGAAAATGATCTCTTGAGCATATTCACTGAATAGGTTGCTAGGATAGTTCAGCTGAGTTCTAGAATATATTTAATTTTTTTTTCCCTTGCTCAGTTCAAGCAAAGAATCTGTTGCTTTGAAATATGAGCCTATTTGTATCCTATGGCATTCTCTCCTTACAACCCTCCTTTCCACTTCATTTATTTTTGGAGCCCTTACATCGATTAAAGAGAGACTGTATAAATAGTTTGGCATGCTGGGAATCGATGCTGTGCACGCCAGTTGCTGTCTCTGATTCTGACTTCAACTAAAAGAATGAACTAGGTTTCCGCCTCTCAACCCTCCTCTTTTCTCTCCTTGAACTGGTTTGTCCAAGTTCTGTTGTTTAATCATTTCCCCTCTTGGCAGGACCTGCCTTTGACCCTCAGCCACAAGGAATCAGTGTAGACTGGCACTGCTCCAAAATGCCTGGGGGATAGAGCTTTGCCCAAGTTGGCCAGTCACTCCTCACAGCTGCTTAGTTCTAGTCTTTGTTGATATTTCCTAGAAAATTTGGCTTCAGATTTGTCATTGGTTACTTAGTTTATTTGAATTTAACTTGCCTTGGTTTTTTGGGGGGGACTTTAGAGGTTATGGTGAAAGACTTGGGCATAGTACTGGAAGAAGAGGAGAGGAGGAAAAATACCTTTTTCTGTTAAAGTGTACAATGTAATGGCTTTAGGATATTTGCAAAACTGGGCAGCGACCACCACTATCTGATATCAGAAATTCTACTTTCATTGCCTCAAACAGAAAGCCTATATCCCTTAGCCACATTTTCCCATTCCCTCTTCCTAGCAACCCTTGGGATTCACTAATCTTTCGAAACATACGATTTGCCTCTTCTAGACGCTCTAGACAATCCTCTAAATGAAATCATATGACATGTGGCCTTCTGTGTCTGGCTTCTTTCATTTTGAGTAATGTTTCCTAGGTTCATTTCTGTCATCGCCCTGAACAGTACATTATTCCTTCTTCAGTATGTCATTCCTTCTATAGCCAAATAGTATTCCATTGTGTGGATGTGCCACATAGTGTTTATGGGAATAATAATTTTAATATTTGCTTTGGGGGTTTTCTTTGTTCATTGTTCCATGCGCTTTGTATTTTTAAAGTCATTTGTCCTCATATTTAAAACTACTTATAGGTACAATTGTGATCATCATTTTACATTTAAGGAGGAGGCATAGATGGGTCACACAGCAGGGCAAGCATGGTTAACTAGAGACTGTGCTCTTCAGCACCATACAGCACCTCCCCTCTTATTCTCTTAGTAAGAGAATATAAAACATATTTTTAAATGATTTTAGGTATGGGAGAAAATAAACTCCTTGGAAGCTATTAGCACAGAATTGGGGTTGGTCTGTGATGTGGGGCTGGATGATGCAAGGTATGTTGTACTTGAATCTTCCCAGGCCCTTTGGCCTGTGGGACACTGCATTTTTTTGAGCAGAAGTGATCCAGGCCATGTGGGGATGGGGTGGGGCCCCTAAGCCCATGAAGGTGAGTTTGTGGCTGACTCAGGCAGCAGATGGGACTGAGTCTGAGGTCAGAGGTCCTCAAACACCCAGTAGATGTAACTGGGTGGAGTTGGGGCAAACAGGGGCTTGACAGCAAGCAGCTCCTTTCTGCAGAATATAGAGAATTGCACACAGCACAAAGTATGACACCCATCTCAGTGCACGTGTGATACGTGACACAATGGTTGAGAAATACCATGGTGGGTGCCAGATCTGAGATCTTTGAGCCTCACATTGAAAATTCCATGCACTGGGTACCTTGGAAGGTGTGAGCGGTATGTGTCTTGCATAAGTCTGTCTATATTTCCATGGCTTTGCTTAAACTTTTATCTAGCTTTTGCCTGAGGACACTGTCCACAGGTCCTTTCCTGAGGCATTATGCAGTGAGTGCCCTGGGAGAAGGGAGTTTTGCGTCAGAACAGCCCAAGAAGGTGCTCTGTGACTGCACATTTTTATTTCTGGCAT